GTACTGAATGAACTTTTTTTCAGCAAAGGCAGATACACCTCACATCATTTGCAGCTAGTATAGCCAATGGGAGTTGGAGGCTACTGCTCAATACATCTGGAAGACTCCAGGTTGGAGAAGACTGGGCTTATGTAATGTAATGAAATATATGTTCCTGAATACATATTTCTTCATGTAGGTTTTTATTATAACATAGGGACCTTGATTACTGATGCAACTACTTTGTTGTTGTTGTGTGCCTTCTGACTTATGGTGACACTATGTGGGGTCTAGTAGGCAAGATTTGTTCAGAAAGTATTTGCCTTTGCTTTCCTCTACTACTCTTTGAAATTATACAGGATGGCTTATTGATACTCATAGGGAGGAGGAGCAAGCTTGTTTTTTGCTGCCCTGGAGACTAGGATGCGGAACAATGGCTTCAAACCACAAGAAAGGAGATTCCACCTGAACATGAGGAAGAACTTTGGGAAGTCTGACTTGGCCACGGTAGTCCACACTCTGGTTACATCCCGTATAGACTACTGCAACGCTCTCTACGTGGGGCTGCCTTTGAAAACTGCTCGGAAGCTTCAAATGGTCCAGCATTCGGCAGCCAGGTTGCTAACAGGAGCGGCACTCAGGGAGCATATGACTCCTCTGTTGCACCAGCTCCACTGGCTGCCAGTTTGCTACCGAGCACAATTCAAAGTGCTGGCGTTAGCCTATAAAGCCCTAAACGGTTCTGGTCCTACTTACCTCTCCGAACGCATCTCCTCCTATGAACCAACTAGGACACTAAGATCATCTGGGGAGGCCCTGCTCTGTCCTGCCTGCATCACAGGCGCGCTTGGCAGGGATGAGAGACAGGGCCTTCTCAGTGGTGGCCCCTCGGCTGTGGAACGCCCTGCCTGCAGATATCAGATCGGCCCCCTCCCTGCTGGCGTTCCAGAGGAAAGTGAAGACCTGGCTGTTTGAACAAGCATTCGATTAAACAGTGTAATTGAACATAGGAATACGGAATAATGGATGACGAAACTGAATTCTGATTTTACTGTTGAGGCGCTAATGATTGTTATTCTGATATTAATGATTTATGTTACAATTGTTTTTAATTGCCCTATACTTGTCTCGTGATGTTTTGTATCAATGTTGTTCACCGCTTTGAGTTGCCTGAGGGCTGAGAAAAGCGGTATATAAATAAAGTAAATAAATAAATAAACTTCCTGACTGTGAGAGCCGTTCAGCATGGAACTCTCTGCCCCAGAGTGTGGTGGATGCTCCTTCTTTGGAGGCTTTTAAGCAGAGGCTGGATGGCCATCTGTCAGGGGTGCTTTGAATGCAATTTTCCTGCATCTTGGCAGCGGGTTGGGCTGGGTGGCCCATGAAGTATCTTCCAACTCTATGATTCTATTATATAAGCCATCTTCATGGTCTTTCCTGCGCATGGTGGATCAGGTCTCACCCTCTTCATTACAAAACTTGGGGAAAAGTTTTGGATTGCATAGTTTTTCCAAATGGAGCATCTTGTGAGTCAAAAAGCAACCTTTCCGGGCTCTGTTCTATTGTGCATGTATATTTACACATAATACATACTTGCTTTGTGACTCATTCCATTTTGGGATTGCAGCTGCTTGAATGGGCTTCTTTGTCCTGTAGTTTTCAGGCTTAACATGTGCAAGACATTCAGTCATATAAATATCTTTTCTTTCTCCCTTCCAAAAACAGCTACTGAATTTGGTCTCAGCAACAGATTAAGTGAAGCTGGTTTGCTTCTTTCCTCATTGTCTGTTTTCCCATTTAAAATTGTTTTCCCCAATGGGGGAAGGGCAGGGGGTACTCATATCTTGAGAATACAACAGAGGAAGGAGGTCTCGGAAACTGCATGGAGATCCTTGCCTGTCTCCAGTTGTTAGTCCCAACTTGTGTACACCAATTGAATAAATGGAAGACATGGCTCAATGAGCTACCACAAAGCCAATGTATTTATTCAGACTGATGCTAATAACAGGACCGAGGCCACTTGCAACTGAGGAGCATGTGACATTTGAGCCTCATTTCAAAGAACATGCCCCATGGATGGGCTGCCATATAATACTGTAGCTTCCCAATCTTTAATTCTCCAGCAATTTTGGACTTCTGCTGCCCAAAGTCTCAACCATTGTACTCAATAACAAAGACATCTGGGAGTCAAGTCCTAAATATATGGAGGATCCAAAGTTGAGAACCAACGTTCTAGGCTGCCAATTACACTACATAATGGGACCTGGTAAGACTAATGGAAGACAGTTTGTAGCATGAGCTTTTGATGACTCAGTCTACTTTGTAAGAAGTAAATTATACTATTAGCGGTAATCATAGTGGAGACCCTTTAATTCTCAAGATCTGGGGTCTTCAAACTTTTTAAACAGAGGGCCAGGTCACAGTCCCTCAAACTGTTGGAGGGCCGGATTTTAATTTGAAAAAAGCATGAATAGAATCATAGAGTTGGAAGAGACCTCATGGGCCATCCAGTCCAACCCCGTGCCAAGAAGCAGGAAATTGCGTTCAAAGCACCCCCAACAGATGGCCATCCAGCCTCTGTTTAAAAGTCTCCGCCACACTCCGGGGCAGAGTTCCACTGCTGAACGGCTCTCACAGTCAGGAAGTTCTTCCTAATGTTCAGATGGAATCTCCTTTCTTGTAGTTTGAAGCCATTGTTCCATTGCGTCCTAGTCTCCAGGGAAGCAGTAAACAAGCTTGCTCTCCCCCTCTCTAGGACTTCCTCTCACATATTTATACATGGCTATCATATCTCCTCTCAGCCTTCTCTTCTTCAGGCTAAACATGCCCAACTCCTTAAGCCGCTCCTCATAGGGCTTGTTCTCCAGACCCTTGATCATTTTAGTCGCCCTCCTCTGGACACATTCCAGCTTGTCAATATCTCTCTTGAATTGTGGTGCCCAGAATTGGACACAATATTCCAGGTGTGATCTAACCAAGGCGGAATAGAGGGGTAGCATTACTTCCCTAGATCTAGACACTATGCTCCTATTGAATTCATATACACACTGCACATATCTTATTTGTAGTGCAAAAAACACTTAAAAACAATAGGTAAAGGTAAAGGTTTGCTCCTGACATGAAGTCCAGTTGTTTCCTACTCTGGGTGTGGTGCTCATCTCTATCTCTAAGCCAAAGAGCCGGCGTTGTCAGTAGACACTTCCAAGGTCATGTGGCCGGCATGACTGCATGGAGCGCCGTTACCTTCCCTACTCTACTCACATTTGCATGTTTTTGAACTGCTAGGTTGGCAGAACAATACAATAATTAAAATTAAGAACAATTTTAACAAATATAAACTTAATAGTATTTCAATGGAAAGTGTGGGCCTGCTTTTGGCTGATGAGATAGGATTGTTGATGTGTGCTTTCAAATCGGTCAGACTTAGGTTAACCCTGAGCAAGGGCCGGGTAAATGACCTTGGAGGGCTGTATCTGGCCCTCGGGACTTAGTTTGAGGACCCCGGCTCAAGATACTTTGGCTTACAACTCTCATTCACCTCACTGAGTACAATCAATGAAAAGGGACAATACAAATTGTAAGCCAAACCAAGGTGGATGGGTGGAAGTGAAGTCCTCACTCTTATGATAAATATAGGTCCTCTCCTGAGAGCAAACCTGAAATTAAAGGTTTTTTGAAGTAGTAGCATATGCAGTTTGTTATTGTATTGTCAAAGGCTTTCATGGCCAGAATCACTGGGTTGTTGTACGTTTTTTCGGGCTATATGGCCATGGTGTAGAGGCATTTTCTCCTGACGTTTCACCTGCATCTATGGCAAGCATCCTCAGAGGTAGTGAGGTCTGTTGGAACTAGGAAAAAGGGTTTATATATCTATGGAATGACCAGGGTGAGACAAAGGACTCTTGTCTGCTGGAGCTAGGTGTGAATGTTTCAACTGACCACCTTGATTAGCATATAATGGCCTGAGAGTGCCTGGACATCTAATCACCTCTCAACAAAAGTTTGCTCCAGTCAATCTCAGGCCATTATATGCTAATCAAGGTGGTCAGTTGAAACATTCACACCTAGTTATGAGACGTTAATTGAATCACGCATTGATGCAGATTGATGTTACTGATGTTAAATATTTAGTGTATCATTGTGTTACTGTTTTTAAATGATTTGTATGTTGTTGCATTGAATCTTTGCCATTGTTTACTGTGAACCGCTCTGAGTCGCCTGATGGCTGAGAAGAGCGGTATAGAAGTGAAGTAAATAAATAAATAAATAGCTCCAGCAGACAAGACTCCTTTGTCTCACCCTGGTCATTCCACAGATATATAAACCCTTTTTCCTAGTTCCAACAGACCTCACTACCTCTGAGGAGGCTTGCCATAGATGCAGGCTAAAGGTCAGGAGAAAATGCCTCTGCACCATGGCCCTATAGCCCAAAAAAACCCTACAACAACCCAGTTTGTTATTGTACTACAACTCCCAGTTTCCTAGCCAGCATGGCCAAATTGGTTGAAGAATTCTGGAAATTATAGTACAAATGTGTAACATTCCTAACAGTTGGTAAAATTCCATGTTGGTTTTACCACGTCAGAAAAGTAATGAGTCAATAACTGAGCCTCAAACAATTGGGTCTCGTAGCATTGGATGAAGGACACCCAGTGAATGGTGGAAAATCTTCAGTATCCCATGAGACAAACTCCTCTTGCCATTTGCTCATATCCCAAACATTCCACCTCACAACACAAAAAACAGGGGGAATGGAGGATGAAACATTGCTGGTGCTGTTGCTGGCAATATGGACAAACAGGTGGATGGGTAATGTGGAGAAGCGATGGCATAAGCAAGATCCTCTTTGGAAAGAAGGACTTCTGCTGGGGATCTGGTCCTGCCAGCTGCATGAGTGCCGCAAGCAAGGGAGAGCGGGGACAAGGAGGCAATAAGCAGTTGGTGGTGATGGAGGTGGTGGGTGATGGAGCGATGCTGGTGGTGAGAAGTGATGCTACACGCCCTGCTGAGCCGGGTCGTACCTTCCTCTGCGAATGTTCCTTTGCAAGCCGAAGAGAGAAGGAAAGAGAGAGGGGGAAGGGGGTTAGCAGGTCACTTCAGCTGGGAACCTCTTGGCCTAACCATCTCCAAGTCTCTGTGCCACATGCCATGGTCGGCGATGCAAAGTCCCAGCCATGCATGCAAAATCTTCTTACCATCCAGGACAGCTTTGGCGTAGAGAGGTCCTACCACCCCTGTCTTGTGGGGTGTGCCATCACAGCTCCTGCCAGAACTTAAAAGGTGTGCAGGCTTGGAACAGGAGGGGAGGGGGAGGTTTGCTGGCAACGTCAAGAGAGAAGGGGCAGCTTCGCCTGGACCTTCCCTGATGAACTTTTTCATGGTATCTACGGATAAGCTAGAGGAAAACTGTTTGAATCTGCCAAGAGTTTGCGAAACCAAGATGTCTTTCCTAAATAACAAATGGTCATTGTTTCCCTCACGCCTCCATGTTCTTGGAACATTTTTCCTTTGCATAGATTGTTTATTTTTTTTCTAAATTCCTTTATTCCATGGATCTAGCAATCTCTGGCTGACCTTCCCCAACAAAAGTAAATAGGCAAAAAAAAAAAAATCCAACTTTACAACTAATCTTTTCCTCAAAGCACACTTTTCTAAACTTGTGACATGTCCTAACACTACAAATAAAAAAAGTCAAAAAATGGGAGAATTCAAAAGGAAACAAATGGTGACATCCAAAGATGATTAATTCCAGAGAAGACGTTGCAGATCAGGAACAAAGGTGATCATTTATTTTGGGGTAGAAATTTAAAGGTTTAAACTCCTTCCCTTGCTATCCCCCAAACCTCTCCCTCCTTCCAGTGTCCAGAATAGCAGCAGTGGCTAAGTCAGAAGTGCCTTGCTTTCCAATGCAGGACTGTAGAGAGACAGGCGCTTACAACATACCATACTAGTGATGAATACTATGGAAGAGGGAGATCTTGGGGATTGAGGTGGGATACAATTCACTTTGGAGCTTCCAGATGCTCATGCCTTCACTATTTGTTGGGCACTCTAGAAGATGGCATCGGCTGTGTACTTCACATCCCACTCCACATTCATGCCAACCTTCTCCCACTACCATGAGTCATGCGGCACTCCTCCTTCATCCATGCAAGTGCCATTCCATGCAAAACAATCAAATGGGAAACCCATTCTCTCTAGTTTAGAAGATAACAAACAATCTAACACTACCCTGCCACACCTCCTGAATGCTATCTTTGTCCAATTATCCAACTAAATTAACTTTCTCCTTCAAACAGCCCTATCAGACATTGCTATCTATCACCCAAGCCCAAACTTGCATGGTCCAATATCAAATCATTCTCCCATCTATGGCAAAACCATAAGGTGTTAGAGCCTTCTGTTCTTTCCAGTGGGTGTGCAGTCAGATCTTCAAAGGAGAAGATCTACTTTTCGGACTACAACTCCCTGAATCGCTCAGCTAGGATGGTCATCAGCCAGCCGCCATGTAGTTCAAAAGGATAACTTTACCAAACTTCCATACATCTGAAAAGTATGGTCAAACTGGGCCTCAGAGTTTGGGAGAAAGCTAGGCTTCCCTCAGAATGGACATAAGGACGCCAGAGATCATGTTAGATTACTGTCATTTGTTCAGATGCCCCATTATACAGTGTTCCCTTGCCACTTCGCTTTCTGCGGACTCGCCATACCTTGTTTTTTTCTCCCCCCCCCCCCCCCCCGATCCACTGGGAGGGAAGAGGAAGGAGGAGGAAGAGCAGCCTCCTCCTCCTCACCGCCTGTGCTCCTGCCTGGCTTCAGAGGCCCCTTGGCCGCCATTGATGGTGCTGGCAGGCAGGGCTGAGGCCCCAGCCCAGCCTGGCAGCACCATCAACAGTGCCCAAGGGGCCTCCGAGGCTGGCAGGAGCACAGGCGGCGAGGAGGAGGCACTGCCCACTCGGGGGCAGCCTCCTCCTCCTCGCCGCCTGAGATCCTTCAGAGGCCCCTTGGCCACCGTTTATGCCCCAGCCCAGCCTGGCAGTGCCATCAACGGTGCCCAAGGGACTCTGATGCCAGAGCAACAGAGGCGGCAAGCAATAGGAGGCTCTGCCCACTCGGTAGCAGACTCCTCCTTCTCACCACCTGTGCTACTCCCCGCTTTGGAAGCCCCTTGGGCTCAATTGACGGCACTGTCAGCACCATCAATAGCACCCAAGGGATCTCCGAAGCCAGCCGGAGCACAAGTGGCAAGGAGGAGGAGGCTGCCACCGAGTGGGTGGAGCATCCCTATTTCGCTGATTTTCACTTATCACGGGGGCTCCTGAAACGGAACCCACTGCGATAAGTGAGGGAACACTGTATATTTTTTGACTGTAATACCGAGAATGTCTCAACTTTGGATGGTTATTAGTCATGCTGGATTGGGTATTCCATCAGTAAAGGTCCAAAACAAGTAACTTCTCTGAGCTCTGGGACAGGAATGCTAAAAGGAAGAAAGGAGACAGTAATACAAATCCCCAAACCAGATTTATGCACACTGCAGTTAGAAACATGGCTGTGTTTAGGGTCTGAATTGAAGCTTCAGGCACTTGCAGATCTGATTGGTAGGAAAGGGTAATATGGAAAGGATTTCCACCTAATACTTCCACACAGAACATGTTCCAACTCTTGCCACAATACCCAAACAGCACCACTGGCTATGGGAGGTAAACTATAGTCAGAGCTTGGGAAAATTAATTTTTGGACTCCAATAATTGCAATTCTCTAATCAGCTTGGAATGTCCATGCTGGTAACAGAGATGTAGCCCAAAAATTAACCAATTACTGTATACTGATATACGAAAGCTCCAACAGTTATCACTGAATGCTTGCAGCTGGAAGTACCTGACAAGGAAGAACGTCCTGTTGAGTTTCTAGCTTCCTTCTGCTGACACCCATTCTATTAGAAAGCCTCTTAAGATCCAGGTCATATACTCCATTTACAGGTAGTCAAGTCATTCCAATTTAAGCACATCATACACTGCACATTTGAGACAATCAAAGCACATCATTCACTGCATTTTTTGTCCTAGTGTTGCCTGTTTATGGCAAACACTGAAATGTACCATATCATAGCAAAGTCTATGCATTCCACATTCTCCCTCCCCCAAATGTGGTAAATGTGTGACTCTTACCACTAAGAGATGCCCTGAGTTTCCTTAACATGCACCATGCAAAATGGATTGAGGGTAACCCTGACAAGTGGGCTTCAAAGCAGACCAGTGGTAAGCACTATAGTTTTGTCTGTATTAGCCACACCTGAGCAAGAGTTGGGAGTCAAAAATGGCTTCATAAAACTGACACGCAAACATTTGATGCTTCTTTCCATCTTCCCTAAAACTGCAGCCCAGGTTTGTCACATTTCCTTCCTGCAGCAAACCCTTAATTTTCTGAGGGTGGATACAGACAGACTTATAACAGATTGAACCAGTGACATGGCAATAAACACAACTCCTGTTGCCACATCTCCCTATTAACTCTGAGGAGGAGGATGGTCTTCCAGAAGTACAATTTTAGCCTGGATCTCAGTCAGTCTCCATGTGCTTAAAACAGTTTTCAGATTGTTCTACATATGCACTAAAACTCAAAAGAAACCAGTATAAAAGGGATGTGTAATTAAATGATGTTTTGCAAAAGCGTGCACTGTATCGGGTTAACAGCTAAAAAGCACTGTTCAAAAAGTGCGCTTGAAACCCAATTCCAGACAAAAAAAGGTACATAGTCACTTGACTGTATATCTCTGCAGTCATGGAAAGCACATGACTGCCTCCCTATCCCCTGATGTGGACTATTCCAGTGCATGTGCGTGTTTTAAAAGCCTGAAACAGCTAGTCAGGGCTGTCAAAAAATAGAGCCACAGACACACAAGTAGCTAAATGGAAGCCTAGTTGGAAAGCAATTACTATTAGAAGTCTCTGCAGCAATTCCTTTGATCTTTATGATATTAAACAGAGCTTGAATTTATATTTGGGTAAGAAGAGAGAATAAGAAATCCGCTTGTGTGTACATTGAGATATCCACATAAGCGCATATACAATCAAGCACATCTGGGTGAGATTTTTTTTAAAAAACTCCTGCTGGTTATCTCTCATCTACCTTGCGGATTTGTAAAATCCACTACAAAGGACAATTTCCTGGACTGTCAAGTCCATCTGGACTTGATGTCAGATCCTGAAATTTTTAAACTCACTTATTTAATCCAAATTTTGATGCTATCTGGAAGCACTCTCTGTAGGGAAGGAAAAGGGAACTGGGCTTCCAACCTACAGGCCAACTGGCTCTCTGTCTCCAAACAGGGACCATTCAAAACAGCAAAGCCTTTGTGGTCCCCAAGTCTTCACTGCACTGCCACAGGAGAAGACTAAGAATCCTAGAAACCACCTTGCAGGTGGTTGGTTTACTGCATAAGTACTTAAAATAGCCTCTTGAAAAATGTGCTTGTATGAATCCACCTTTAGAGAAAACGGCAAAAGCTGAACTAGGGAATGGGTGGGCCGTGCATTGGCTAGGGCCCACTCTTCCCCAGAGCTGAGTGCAGGTGCCAAAAGGGCCCATGGCAAAGGGCACCTGGAGCAGAGCATGCAAGAGAGACGCCCAAGGCAACACAGCAGTCTGGGAAGCGTGGCATGCGTGTGTCAACGCTGCTTACTTAAATCCCCATCCGGTGCCACCAAGGACGATCGCAGCCACCAAGATGGCTCCAGCAATGGAACCAATAATGATGTTGGTGCCACTGGGACCTATGGAAGAAAAGCAGACAACAGACATCAGGTGTGGCCCACTGACCCAGGAATGCTATTTGACTTAAAAAATTAAAATTGAAGAGCGGTTTGATCTAGTTCAGTGTTTCTCAACCTGGGGGTCGGGACCCCTGGGGGGGTCGTGAGGCGGTGTCAGAGGGGTCACCAAAGACCATCAGAAAATACAATGTTTTCTGTTAGTCATGGGGGTTCTGTGTGGGAAGTTTGGCCCCATTCTATTGTTGGTGGAGTTCAGAATGCTCTTTGATTACAGGAGAACAAAAAATCTCAGCAACTACAACACCCAAATATCAAGGCCTCTTTCCCCCAAACTCAACCAGTGTTCACATTTGGGTATCTTGAGTATTTGTGCCAAGTTTGGTCCAGATCCATAATTGCTTGAGTGCACAGGGCTCTCTGGATGTAGGTGAACTACAACTCCCAAATGTCAAGGTCTATTTTTCCGAAACTGTAGGTGTTTGGAGTTTGTAGGTGAACTACTACTCCAAAACTCAAGGTCAATGTCCACCAAACCCTTCCAGTATTTCCTGTTTGGTCCAATTCCATTGTTGGTGAAATTCAGAATGCTCTTTGATTGTAGGTTAACTACAAATCCCAGCATCTACAATTCCCAAATGACAGAATCAATCCCTTCAACCCCACTACTATTCAGATTTGGATGTATCAGGTATTTGTGCCAAATTTTGTCCAGTGAATGAAAATATATCCTTCATATCAGATGTTTACATTACGATTCATTAGTTATGAAGTAGCAACAAAAATAATTTTATGGTTGGGGGTCACCACAACATGGGGAACTGTATTAAGGGGTCGCAGCATTAGGAAAGTTGAGAACCACTGATCTAGTTGATCTAGTGCTACAAGCTACAGTACCTGCAAGGAGGACTGCCCCACTCACCCAAATTCTGATGTGGAATTATGAAAAACTAAGGTTCCAGCAGACTCCATCAAAAGAGCCTGATCTTGAAAACTTACCCTTGTATTTTTCTGTCTCCCCTGTAGGTTTAGTTTCTGGGATAGGGTCATAGACACTGCAGTCTTTGCCTGTCCAATCAGGATAGCAGATACACTGGCCTTCATTGCTGCACACCTACAACCAAGAAAGAAGCTACATGGATGAGGTGATACTAGAAGGCATTTTATAATGTCCTGTCCAAAACCTAAAAATGCCCACTCATGGTACTTTCCTCCTGCATCATGATTTTTCACAAATGTGGTATACCACAGGCATTATTATGAATATGATAGCAAAAATAAATAGTAACAGAACAGAAACCAGGAGATACTTCTCTCATCTTTTAAAGGCTAATTTTGAAGGAGGTTGCAGTAAAAAAAATCACCCTGTTTGGTGATGTTGATTTTGACCTTACATAATATACACATTATGTTCATGATGGACTGAGTTGTGAAACACTTTTCCTGTGGTCCTAGGGATCAGTACATTCCATAGGAAAAGTCAGCTTTGGAAAAGTTTAATAAAGACTCCGCCTCTTGACCCAGTTTCAAAATTTCTGATGCTGTGGTCTATTAGGAAAATATAGATAAGACCAGAGGAAATAGTTCATTGTCTCCATCTGTGTAGATCAGGGTGGGTAGATGGAGATACCTTCTGGGAAGCACCTTGATGTAGATCACACTCCAAAACATTTGCTAAGATCAAGGCATTGACAAAGTGACTTCTTGCCATACTATACAGGCAGTCCCAAAGTTACAAAAAAAGATAGTTCTGCAGGTTTGTTCTTAAGTTGAATTTATATACACACACACACACATACTTTGGATTGTTTAGCTGTCTGTGCCCCTGTTTAGAAGATTTTACCTCACTTTATGTCCTGCTAATTGATAATTGGATTGTGAAAAAATTGAAAAAATTGGCTTGGTGTGGAAACAAGTGTTGTCGATAAAACTTCAGTGGAGACACCTTGTTCCCATAACTCTTTTAAGGATGATTTCCCTTCCTGGGGGTAGATTTCTTTCACTTTCTGTTGCCTCACCCCTGTTCTTAACTATGAGTTAAGACCTGTCAGCGGCTTATGATACTGTAAACCACCGCCTCCTCCTGAGAAAATGTATAATATCACAATGGATTACCACCTCATCTGCCTCACAGGAAACCTGCTACAAAACAGGAGCTTTTTTGTTGAGTTCCAGGGCCAGAGAAGCAAATGGCGGAAACAGAAGAACGGCCTGCCTCAGGGGAGTGTGCTTGCTCCATCCATGTTCAACATTTACACAAATGACTAGCCACTGCCAGAAGGGACAGAGAGTTTAATCTATGCTGATGATCGTGCCATTACCACTCAAGCAGGGAGCTTTGAGGTGGTTGAACAGAAGCTCTCCGAAGCTTTAGGTGCTCTTACTGCCTATGATAGGGAAAAACCCAGCTGATCCCTAATCCATCTAAAACACAGACATGTGCTTTTCACCTTAAGAACAGACAAGCATCCCGAACTTTGAGGATTACTTGGGAATGAATACCACTGGAACATTGCAGCACACCTAAATGCCTGGGAGTCACTCTGGACCGTGCTCTGACCTACAAGAAGCACTGCCTGAATATCAAGCAAAAAGTGGGTGCTGGAAACAATATCACACAAAAGTTGACTGGCACAACCTGGGGATCACAACCAGATACAGTGAAGACATCTGCCTTTGCGCTATGCTACTCTGCTGCTGAGTATGCAAGCCCAGTGTGGAACACATCTCACCACGCTAAAACAGTAGATGTGGCTCTTAATGAGACATGCCGCATTATCACGGGGTGTCTGTGCCCTACACCACTGGAGAAATTACACTGCTTAGCCGGTATTGCACCACCTGACATCCGCCGGGAAGTAGCAGCCAATAGTGAAAGGATCAAGGCAGTGACATCTCCAGCTCATCCCTTGTTTGGGTATCAGCCAGCACGTCAACGACTTAAATCAAGAAATAGTTTTCTAAGATCTACAGAGACACTTATTGGAACACCTCAGCAAGTGAGAGTCCAAAAGTGGCAGGCTCAAACTGAGAACCTCAATCAATGGCTGATACCAAATGAGAGACTCCCCCCTGGGCACACAGAAAACTGGACCACTTGGAAGGCGCAGAACAGACTGCGCTCTGGCACCACGAGATGCAGAGCCAACCTTAAGAAATGGGGCTACAAAGTGGAATCCACGACATGTGAGTGTGGAGAAGAGCAAACTACAGACCAGCTGCTGCAATGCAACCTGAGCCCTGCTACATGCACAATGGAGGACCTTATAGCAACACCAGAGGCACTCCAAGTGGCCAGCTACTGGTCAAAGGACATTTAATCAACTACCAAGCTTGCAAACTTTGTGTTTTGTTTATTTGTTTGTTTGTTTGTTTGTTAAAAAATGCAATACAACTGTTTGGTCTGCTCCTGACACGATAAATAAATATGTTTTACCCCATGGTCAAAGCAGATCTGGCCACCCCAGCTGCCTGGACAGGTGCTGAAATTAAAGGCTGACAGAGGAAGGCATTTGTGGTCCAGACACAGCATGTTGGGCCCACAGGGTGTCCCATCTTCCACGTAACTTATATCCGAGCCATCCACAAGTTGCACATGGCCACCCCTAAGGAAAGAAAAAAAAAAGCTCCATCAGGAGGCTGGTATATGGAATAGCTCTCAGAAATGAACGAGATTAATTAAGAAAGTAATCATGTTGATAATGACGTGGTTGGAGCATGTCAGCCAACGCATTTGATAACTCCATTAATCTTGCTCTCCAAAACACTTGCAATCCACACGTAAGTGGTGGTTCGGTGTTTGGAGGGCTGCGGCAGACAGATGTTCTGAACTTAATTATGGGAGAGCATCAGGGGAAGGATAAACCAGCAGATTCACAATCCCTTCACACATATATTCTACAAGCAGTTGCCCTGAGTCCCCCTTGTGGGGAGAAGGGAGGGATAGAAGCGTATGAAATAATAATAATAATAATAATAATAATAATAATAATAATAATAATTGTTCCAGAAGGAAAGGAAACCTCAGCTTCAGGATTCAGAGGAAAAGTGAGACAAAGGACCACCTTAAGAAGATGGTTTCTCCAGCATATTAGTTTCTTCACCCCAAGATTTAAGAGTAGAATGGAAATCTTCCCCAAAACCAGAGCAAATATTATTATTTAAAGCAGCCACAAAGCAACTTGACTGCGGAAGGAATCCAGAGGCAATTCTGGTGGTCCTCCTCCATTACCTAGACATTCTCTGATCGTAAAATCCGACACTGTTCATCAAATTGACATGGTAGTGTGATCCTTACATCGAAAATTGAAACTTTTGGCCTCACTGTTGCTAGACCTGCCTGGTCAAGAAAATATTGTATAGGTTCCCAACCCCTTTGTTCTGGGATTGATCATTTCCTGGGGTGGTCAATGCATGGGGAAAAGTTACTTTTTGTATGATATCGCCTTATTTAGACAACAGGAAATGGTGCAAACTGAAAAAAGTCCACATCCTGTCACCAATTATGTCAAAGAGAAATATGTATAAATTAATATTTGGCCATAAAGGTCATGAGATGATGCTAGTTGCTACTAAAGATAAGATGAATTATAAAGCCATTGTTCTATCATTGACCATTGTTCCTCCTGCAATCGATAGTAGAAGGCATGCATAGTCCTTTTGTTTTGTCTAAAGGTTTAGCACAGTTGGTAAATCACCTGCAACAATAAGATCTATCAACCGAAAGGTTGCAAGTTTGAAGCCCCGGGCCAGCATGAGCTGCCAACTGTCAGCCCAGCTGTTGGGGTTCAGCCTGATCTGTGTGAACCTGATTCTCTGATAGTATTTCCAACTGAGCAAGCCACTGAACATGTAGTTTTCCCTGACAATATGGAAACTAGTGTTGATGCTGAGTTCAGCGGCGGGGAAAGTGAAACTGAACAGCCAGATGAAAATGTTTTGGAATCCAGCCATGATAGCTCTCCACCTGGGTTTTTTAATGAGGACCGAAGGGAACAGATAACGAGAGACAGGAGTGATTCACAGTTCCTACGAAGGTCAAATAGATTACAGGAGAGACAGGTTCAGGCTTCAAAGTCAAGGGGCGTTTCAAGGAATAGTTTCTTTGGTATAAGGGGCCACCTGCCGGGTGTCTCCTTAGATCAAGCAACGTTTAGGATGTGGCTGTGCCTTGGCAGAATTCCTGTGTTCCATGGCCGATAATCCCAGAGGCTTCTAGTTTTCAAGTACATGGTTAATGAGAGGCTAACAGGTTCCTGGTTCTTGTATTGTGGTTTTTGGAATTTTGCTCAAGTTCAGAGATTTTCCTGATTGCTGTGTTTCTATGGTGGCTTGTTGACTTGCATTTAACTTTCTTTTGTAACCAATTTTTCATCAATAAAAAAGAATTGTTTTTTCCTACAGACCAGTGTGGTGGATTTAATCTTATGGTCTCGTTTCTTGATCTGGGATGCAACACCAGCTCACTGTTTACCTAAGCACTTTTGTTTTCTCTAAAGGTTTAGCACAGGTGGCAAATCACCAGCAACTATAAGATCTATCAACTGAAAGGTTTCAAGTTTGAAGCCCTGGGCCAGCTCACTGTTAACTTAAGCAGTTCGAAAACAGCTTTAGCTGTAATTAGAGAAATTAGGTACCGCTAAAAGCAGTGGAAGTGTTTTACGACACCATAAAGAAAGAAGATCTGGGTGACCAAATGCAAGGAGGAAGTCCTGATAGCTCTTCATCATAGAGGATGGAGCGACAGCATCCCTGTGGCTGGATTCGAGCCCAACCTTCCACCGCACCAAAACAGCTGGACATTGAGTCGAAAAAACATACCTCCTTCTGTTCTGTCTGTGTATTGTCTATACAAAATGACATTGTTGCCGTGTATGTGTACTGTGATCCACCCTGAGTCCCCTTTGGGGTGAGAAGGGCGGAATATAAATAAAGTGTTGTTGCTGTTATTATTATTATTATTATTATTATTATTATTATTATCTTCTTGATCAAGGAACACCTGTATCCATTTACCTGGGGAAAACAGTTCCAAAGGAGTCATCTACAGTAGTGCCTTTTTTTTGGAGAGTAGTGTATCTCAAGCCATCTGATGTGAGTGACAAGCAATCCCACCCCACAATGTTCCAGGACCTAATACCATATCTGTGCTCCTTGGCTATTATTGTTAATTTATGTCCTATAGATTTGTCAAAGATTGACGAACAACAGTTTGTGGATCATCATTTTGAATAGAACTATTCTTAAGTGAATATGTTCTCACTAACCTGCAGTCAACGTAACGCTTCTGGTGATAGAAAGTCATTGTGGTGATTTCACCTAGAAGTTCACCAATACGTGGAGGACCCGTCACATTGGCGCAAAGGAGGTAGCCACACAACACATCCCTGAATTGATATAGGAAACACACACAAAAACACAGAATAACAAAAGAGTGGATTTCTCAGCCAGTTACCTACTTATAGCACTGTGGCCACTTGCCTTGGTGCATCATAGGAATACAGTGAGTTGGGGAAAAGGATGACATCTCAATTCATTTATTATGTTATATACATGATGATATCTCCTTATTTACACAACGGGAAATTGTGCAAACTGAGCAAAGCCCATGCCCTGTCACCAATTAGCAATAGTAAACATTTCAAAATTGTTTACACTTAAATATACTCCTAATACAATGTAAAACACCTGTATTTACTCCAGTCTAATGTGTCATCAAACACCTCAATTTTCAAAACCCTGAAACCAAAAAAAAAAGGATTTTCTGCTGAATGCAATGCAAAGCAGCAAAAAGTGTAATTTGGCCAAAAAAAAGGTGTGCATTATAGTTGCTGGATGCTTAGAGTTCATTCTTTAAAAACAAAAGAGTTGGAACATCAAAGCTTTCAGCAACGGAAAAGAAAACCTTGGAGTGCATTTATGCTATAGAATAAATCCACGTTAACTGCCTTGGCTCAATGTTATGAAATTATGTAGTTTTAAAAAATCTTCCGCGTCTTCTCTGCCAAAGAATGCTGAGGATTTACCAAACTATAAGTCCCAGGAGTGCATACCATTGAGCCCTGGCCATTAAATTTGAGGTGACATCCCTCAAAGGTGCTGGTGTCCTATGAGGAGCGGCTTAAAGAGCTGGGCATGTTTAGCCTGAAGAAGAGAAGGCTGAGACATGATAGCCATGTATAAATTTGTGAGGAAGTCACAGGGAGGAGGGAGCGGACTTGTTTTCTGCTTCCCTGGAGACTAGGACGCGAAACAATGTCTTCAAACTACAAGAAAGGAGATTCCATCTGAACATGAGGAAGAACTTCCTGACTGTGAGAGCTGTTCAGCAGTGGAACTCTCTGCCCCGGAGTGTGGTGGAGGCTCCTTCTTTGGAAGCTTTTAAACAGAGGCTGGATGGCCATCTGTCGGGGTGCTTTGAATATGATTTTCCTGCTTCTTGGCAGGGGGTTGGACTGGATGGCCCATGAGGTCTCTTCCAACTCTTTGATTCTATGATTCTATGAATTTCCTGACTGTGAGAGCCGTTCAGCAGTGGAACTCCCTGCCCTGGAGTTGGTAGAGGCTCCTTCTTTGGAAGCTTTTAAACAGAGGCTGGATGGCCATCTGTTGGGGGTGCTTTGAATACAATTTTCCTGCTTCTTGGCAGGGTGTTGGACTGGATGGCCCATGAGGTCTCTTCCAACTCTTTGATTCTATGTTGAAGCAGCTTCCACTTTTGCTTTGGCTCAGCACTAAGATAAGGTTCGCTCACATGAACCTAATGCACATCCTAATTTTGGCTAGGTATTTAGCCAAAAAAGGTGAGCATTAGATTCAAATAAATATAATAATTAAGAAAAGCAATACCGGTAAATCAAATCCAACTACTGATCTCAGCCACAGTGGACTCATTTAATGTATTGTCGAAGGCTTTCATGGCTGGAATCACTAAGTTCTTGTGGGTTTTTTCGGGCTATATGGCCATGTTCTAGAGGCATTTCTCCTGACGTTTTGCCTGCATCTATGGCAAGCATCCTCAGAGGTGAGGTGAGAATGCTTGCCATAGATGCAGGCGAAACGTCAGGAGAAATGCCTCTAGAACATGGCCATATAGCCCGAAAAAACCCACAAGAACTTAGTGTACTCATTTAATCAATTAAATAATCACTCCATCTTATGTAAACCCCATTGTTTGTTTACTTTGGACTAGATACTGGATGTAGTCAATCTTATGTAAATCTCATGGTTTCTTTTGGACTAGATTTCAGTTAAAAGTTTTAATTACAGAGTTAACTTTTGAAAAATTTGAAACAGTATAATACATAATGTTTTGGTTACTCACTGCTTGACACAGGACACCCAGCGGTTTGCTTCACGGCCACAATTCCCTCGCTCAGTGCCTTCTACATTCAGCTTCTCATAGCAAAACCTTTCAGCAGAGGCTTAGGTCCCATAAAGACAGTCAGACAGAGAAGGCATTAAAGACAGACCAGAGGGCCCAACTAGTATTACATTTTCCAACATAGCAACTCATTACGTTTTCCAACACGCTATTGCCTCCTTGGTGTGTTGAGCTAATGCAATTCTCATAACCTTTGGGAAGCATGAAGGCAAACATCCAAGCCATATAAAGTATTACGGAGGTTGCATTCCACCACATTAGAGATTGTGGAAATGGTGGACTATTGGGTTGGCTTCTTACTGGACCAAACATTATTTTCAAGAAGATCTTCATAACGAATATTTGACGATATTCAAAAATGATCAAAGAAGTATTTGGAAACCATGAGAGGAAGTATCCTGCAATTTGTATCTTATTTTATTGTAATATGTTGTTCGGGCTTGGCCTCATGTAAGCCACCCCGAGTCCCCGTTGGGGAGATGGTGGCCGGGTATAAATAAAGATTATTATTATTATTATTATTATTATTATTATTATTATTATTATTATTATCCAGGAGTTCAAGAACTATTTTAAGCAACTTTTTTTTGTCGTGTCAGAAGCAACTTGAGAAACTGCAAATCGCTTCTGGTGTGAGAGAATTGACCGTCTGCAATGACGTTGCCCAAGGGATGCCTGGATGTTTTGATGTTTTATCATCCTTGTGGGAGGCTTCTCTCATGTCCCCGCATGAGGAGCTGGAGCTGATAGAGGGAGCTCATCCGCATTCTCCTCGGATTCGAACCTGCAACCTGTCGGTCTTCAGTCCTGCCGGCACAGGGCTTTAACCCACTGTGCCACCGGGGGCTCCATACAACCAAATGTAACTATGCAAAGTAATTGGCTTCAGTTGTTAAACTGAACAACCTATTGTCTCTAACCTATTAGGAAAACAGAATATGCCACTACATAAAAATAGCAGTTCTTCAGAATAATATAATCAAATAATATTCACAAGAAGATTAAGAAACCACAGGGAAGTATACATTTCTTTATTCCCACTCACTCGGGAACATTCACTTTTATATCACAACCACCAAAGAATAGAAGGAAGTCAAACATTTTTTTCTTTTTTCTTTTCTTTTTTCTAGTTCTTCTGTCTCTTTTTCTCCAACTTTGCTATTTGAAAATTGTTCTCACACTTTTGATGTTCTATCTTCTTTAATCAAGGGTATAATAAAAATTTATTTTTTTAAAAAAAGAAGTATCCTGGAGTAACAAGAATTGTCACAGTTTGACACTTTGATGCAAAATGTGCACTTGACATGGTGGTTCTCGAAGATTGATTGATTGATTTTATTTACTATATTTATATACTGCCCCTCTCGGCCCAGAGGCGACTCAGAGCAGTTCACAAATTGGCAACAATTTGATGCCTCAATAATTATAACAATTAAAAACGATCAAGAAATTCTGTTAAAAACAATAGCATATGATTTAAAAAATATAAAAACCGTACAAAGCCCTAAAACATTATCGCAAGCGTCTCCATGTCAAATCGTTATTCCGTTATCAAGTAGTTCCATAATTCCGTTTAGCTATGCCATATTTGGGAAGTAATTCAAAGTGCTGGTGTTAACCTATAAAGCCCTAAGCGACTCCGGCTCGGTTTACCTCTCCGAACGTATTCTCCCATATGAACCATCAAGATTATTAAGATCGTCTGGAGAGGCCCTGCTCTCAGTCCCACCGGCCTCGCAAGCACATCTGTTGGGGACGAGGGACAGGGCCTTCTCGGTGGTGGCCCCTCGACTCTGGAACTCTCTCCCACTGGAGATCAGAACCGCCCCTTCTATTCTGCCTTGGTTAGACCACACCTGGAATATTGTGTCCAATTCTGGGCACCACAATTGAAGGGAGATATTGAGAAGCTGGAATATATCCAGAGGAGGGCGATTAAATGATCAAGGGTCTGGAGAACAAGCCCTATGAGGAGCGGCTTAAAGAGCTGGGCATGTTTAGCCTGAAGAAGAGAAGGCTGAGAGGAGACATGGTAGCCATGCATAAATATGTGAGAGGAAGTCATAGGGAGGAGGGAGCAAACTTGTTTTCTGCTTCCCTGGAGACTAGGACACGGAACAATCGCTTCAAACTACAAGAAAGGAGATTCTATCTGAACATGAGGAAGAACTTCCTGACTGTGAGAGCTGTTCAGCAGTGGAAATCTTTGTCCCAGAGTGTGGTGGAGGCTCCTTCTTTGGAAGCTCTTAAACAGAGGCTGGATGGCCATCTGTCAGGGGTGTTTGGACTGGATGGCCCATGAGGTCTCTTCCAACTCTTTGATTCTAAGGCCTCCTCAAAAAACCAGGTTTTCACCTTTTTTCAAAAAGCTAGGAGGGAGGGAGGCAACCTTATACCTCTAGGCAGGGTGTTCCACAGTTGAGGGACCACCGCTGAGAAGGCCCTGTCTCTCGTCCCCGCCAAACACATCTGCGAAGAAGGCGGGAGCAAGAGCAGGGCCTCCCCAGAAGATCTTAACGTCTTACAGCAAGAAGTGAAGTGCTAAAATTAGCTATTGTTTTCTTTAATAATAACTTTGGTGAAGAACTATAGTACATCCCTCCTTTGCAGGGCATGCCCAGGGAAAAATGACCAAAATAATCCAAAGTTTGGAAGTGACACCCTATGATGAGCATCTTAGAGAAGTGGGAACTTTTAGCTTGGAGAAAAGAAGGTTGAGATGAAACATGTTGGACATGTTTAAATATTTGAAAGGATGTCATGCTTTGATTGTGCTTTTCATGCATGGCGGGGGAGGTGGGGGAGTATACCTGATGGCCCTTATGGCAGTGTTTCTCAACCTTCTTAATGCCGTGACCCCTTAATACATTTCCTCATGTTGTGGTGACCCTCAACTATAACATTATTTGCGTTGCTACTTCATAACTGTAATTTTGCTAGTGTTATGAATCATCGTGTAAATATCGGATATGCGGAATGTGTTTTCATTCACTGGACCAAATTTGGTACAAATACCCGTTACGCCCAAATTTGAATACTGGTGGAGTTGGGGAGGGGTGTTGATTTTGTGATTTGGGAGTTGTAGTTGCTGGGATTTATAGTTCACCTACAAGCAAAGAGCATTCTGAACTCAATCGACAATGAAATTGAACTAAACTTGGCACATAGAACTCTCATGACCAATGGAAAACACTGGAAGTGTCTGGTGGGCATTGACCTTGAATTTGGGAGTTGTAGCTCACCTACATCCAGAGAGCATTGTGGACCCAAACAGTGATGTATCTGGATTAAACTTGGCACGAATTCTCAATATGCCCAAATGTGAACACTGATGGGGTTTGGGGGAAATAGACCTTAACATTTGGGAGTTGTAATTGCTGGGATTTATAGGTCACCTACAATCAAAGAGCATTCTGGACCGCACCAATAATAGAATTGGGCCAAATTTCTCACACAGAACCCACATGACCAACAGAAAATACTGTGCTTTCTGATGGTCTTTGGTGACCCCTCTGACTCCCCCCTTGTGACCCCCAGGTTGAGAAACACTGCCTTATGGTGTCTTACAACTTCATGATTCTACGAATAAGGTGCATTTTTGCTCTTGGTCGGGAGGTGGTGCTCGTGCTTTCACAGGCTTGAGATAAAAATCTCATTGATTTGTTTATTTATTTATTGTGGCATAGGGATGTCCTCCACTGACCCATCTTTTTGGAATATGAGTTAGAGAACTGATTAGGGAGCTGCAATCAGATGATCACTAGATTTGCTACTGAGCTCTCATCAAACTTTCAGCCCTTGGCATTTTCCCAGTATCACCTTATGTTGCCCTCACTGACTCAAGCACACTTCTGGCTAAGGCTCTCAGGCTTAGAGCCTTCAAGTGCAGCTCAATCAGCCCATTCCTCCATCCTTTTCTCCCACCTGCAGCAGCTAACCCTGCCCTGTTCTTCTCAAGGTGTATCACCAAGACCACTTCTTACCCCGTCCCCACAATGCATTGCATTGGCGGTCCCTGGTTTTGCAACGACCTCCATAACACCGGCCCTAAGGAGAAAGAAAGAATAGATTTGTAAGGGACACATGCAAAATCACTTATTGTTGTCATGGCATGCCTTCAAGTTATTTCCGACCGATGGCAAACTGAACATAGGGCTTTCTTGGCTGGATTTGCTCATAAGAGGTTTACCATTCTCTTCCTCTGAGGCTGAGAGAGAGTGACTTGCCCAAGGTCACCCAGTGGGTTTCATTTATTTATTTACATTATTTCTATTCCGCCCATTTCAGCCCGAAGGCGACTCAGGGCAGGTTTCATGGCCAAATAGCAATTTGAACCCCAGTCTCCACGTGGCTCTAAAACCATACTTCTCCAGACCCTTTCTACAATGCCATATAATCCAGATTATCAAAGCAAATAATCTACATTGTCTGCTTTGAACTGGATTATGTGAGCCTACACTGCCATATAACCCAGTTCAAAGCAGATAATCTGCATTTTATATGGCAGTGAAGAAGGGACCCCAGATGTCACAGATGATGTGGTCAAGCAACATCAGAGTTACTATTAAGGTAGAAAAGACAAGTTAGTGGAGGTTGCAGTGTAGATTTATACAGTGTAGACTTATACATGGATTATATGAGTGTAGACTCATATAATCCAGTTCAAAGCAGATAATGTGGATGATCTGCTTTGATACACCTGGAATATTGTGTCCAATCCTGGGCACCACGATTGAAGAGAGATATTGACAAGCTGGAATATGTCCAGAGAAGGGTAACTAAAATGATCAAGGATCTGGAGAACAAGCCCTATGAGGAGCAGCTTAAAGAGCTGGGTGTGTTTAGCCTGAAGAAGAGAAGGCTGAAAGGAGACATGATAGCCATGTATGAATATGTGAGAGGAAGTCATAGGGAGGAGGGAGCGAACTTGTTGTCTGCTGCCCTGGAGACTAGTATGCGGAACAATGGCTTCAAACTACAAGAAAGGAGATTCCATCTGAACATGAGAACTTCCTGTGAGAGCTGTTCAGCAGTGGAACTCTCTTCCCCGGAGTGTGGTAGAGGCTCCTTCTTTGGAAGCTTTTAAACAGAAACTGGATGGCCATCTGTTGAGGGTGCTTTGAATGCAATTTTCCTGCTTCTTGGCAGAGGGTTGGACTGGATGGCCCATGAGGTCTCTTCCAACTCTATGATTCTATGATTCTATTTGGATTATATAGCAGTGTAAAGGAGGGTTGGGAGTACAGATTCAGGCTTGATCTACACTGCCATATAATCCAGATTCTCAAAGGAAATAATCCAGATATTTTTATTTTTTTCATGTCAGGAGCAACTTGAGAAACTGCAAGTTGCTTCTGGTGACATTGAGCCCCCGGTGGCACAATGGATTAAACCCTTGTGCCGGCAGGACTAAAGACTGACAGGGCAGAGGTTCAGATCCGGGGAGAGTGTGGATGAGCTCCCTCTGTCAGCTCCAGCTTCTCATGTGGAGACATGAGCGAAGCCTTCCACAAGGATGGTAAAACATCAAAACATCTAGGCATCCCCTGGGCAACGTTCTTGCAGATGGCCAATTATCTCACATCAGAAGCGACTTGCAGTTTCTCAAGTCATAGAATCATAGAATCAAAGAGTTGGAAGAGACCTCACGGGCCATTTAGTCCAACCCCCTGCAAAGAATATTGCATTCAAATCACCTCTGACAGATGGCCATCCAGCCTCTGTTTAAAAGCTTCCAAAGAAGGAGCCTCCACCACACTCCGGGGCAGAGAGTTCCACTGCTGAACGGCTCTCACAGTCAGGAAGTTCTTCCTCATGTTCAGATAGAATCTCCTGACATGAAAAAAAAATATTATTATTATTAATAATAATTAGTCAATCACCAAAAGCAAGGAGGAAGTCTACAAATATTTTTTACTATATTTTTATTTTTTATTTAATTTTTTTATTTTTTCCACTCTTTTCACTTTCTGTCTATGAAAATGTCCTCTCACTTTCAATGTAAATGTAAAGGAAATTTCTTTTTCAATTTTTTCTTTAGATAAAATGTCAATAAAAATATTTAACAAAAAAATCCAGATTATTTTTCTTTGAGCTTTATTATTTGAGTCTACACTACCATAAAATCCATTTCAAAGCACATAATCTGGATTTTTTATGGCAGTGTAGATAGGTCCTCAGTTTCTCCGTCATATAAATTCAGGTCAAAATAGATACTGTGGATTTTAAATACCAGTGTAGAGGGGGGTTCATATAATCCACTTCAAAGCAGATAGCGTGGATGCTTTGATAATCTGGATTATATGGCAGTGTAGAAGGGGCCTAAGTAGAACTACTAAGGAGGAGTAACATGTTAAAAATGTTAAAAATGATACATTATGAGTTCCTCTAAAGTGGTCTAAAGAAGCATGATTTCTTCCAATGTAGTTCCTTTTGAAATGTAACACAACGCGTTGCCATATGGGACGGAGATAACATTAAACACATTTCTAAATATCAGCTATTCATTCACTACGCCCTCTGCTTCAAGGCCTCAAGCTGGGCAGCCTTCTCTTCATATCGTGAAAGGTTTAGATGATATGCTGGTTCCTCTCGTTTCTTATTGAAAGGAGGGAGGGAGAAATCGCTCCAAACTAGGACCTTTCAAAAGTATATCAGAGTTGAGCACTGAAAAGCTGGATAAAGAGAGAAAAAAGTTGGAGAGTTCGTTGAAAATATAGTTAGCTGTGCTTTGCTTTGGATTGCATCCTGACTCATCACAGAAGACTTCCATGCCTGATATAAGCATACATGCATTTTCCTCTTCCTTCTGCTTGACCTCTCTTATTTTCTAAGAAGTTTGTGGTTATATTTAAAAATAGCTCTTCTTTCCTGAGCACTCCGGGTGCCTATGGGTTTATTAACATATTCTAAGATCATTTAAAAATATTTCCAACTGTTTCCTAAAGAATAAAGTTGTTCCTCTTAATTAACTTTTTAAAAAGATAATGCCTGGTACCTGCACCGATTCGAAGATCTACAGAGACACTCGCTGGAACACCTCAGCAAACGAGAGTCCAAAAGTGGCAGGCTCAAACCCAGCACCTCAACCAATGGCTGATACCAAATGAGAAACTCCCTCCTGGGCACACAGAAGACTGGGCGACTTGGAAGGTGCTGAACAGAATGCGCTCTGGCACCACGAGATGCAGAGCCAACCTTCGGAAATGGGGCTACAGAGTGGAATCCTCAACGTGTGAGTGTGGAGAAGAGCAAACCACTGCCCACCTGCTGCAATGCAACATGAGCCCAGCCACATGCACGATGGGGGACCTTCTTGCAGCAACACCGGAGGCACTCCAAGTGGCCAGATACTGGTCAAAGGACATTTAACCAACTACCAAACTCACAAGTTTTGTATTTTTCTGTTTGTTTGCTTTGTTCTGTTAGAAATGTAATATAATGGACTGGTTGCTCTGACACGACAAATAAATAAATAAATAATAAATATTCCAAGATCTGATCCCAGATTATTTTCTTATCCCAGATTATCTGGCAGTGGAGACTCATATAACCCAGTTTAAATCAGATCTGGGATTAGATTCTACGATATAGGACAGGGTAGAAGGGACCTTAATGAGGCACTAATGCTGCCTAACTAAGAATACTATGTATCCCTCTCTAAATGTACATTTTAAAATGAAGCCAAAGCATTTTAAGTGGAATTATAGCACTGTAAACAGTGTATATGGCAGTGAAAGAAAAATAAGATGCAGGCCTATTTGCTTGTTAGATTCCATGCTTTGGGATAGCCTTTTGAACCTGTCAATTTCCAGATGTAAAAAGGTAAAGGTCTAAAGGTTGTCCCCTGACATTAAGTCCAATCATGTCTGACTCTGGGGTGTGGTGCTCATCTTCCATTTCTAAGCCGAAGAGCCAGCATTGTCCATAGACACCTCCAAGGTCATGTGGCCAGCATGACTGCATGGCGTGCCGTTTATATTTCCACATGTACTGCACAACAATTACCATTATCTCAAACGATTGTTCAGATTTTGGATTTTGTAGTCTAAGGGCTCTTTCAGACAGACCCTATATCCCAGGTTTTCTGCTTTAACCTGGATTATATGAGTTCCCATTGCCAGATAATCTTGGATAAACTGAAAAACCTGGAATCAGATCCTGGGATATAGGGCCTGTCTGGAGGAACCCTAAGGCCCCTTCTGCACTGCCATGTAATCCAGATTATATCAAATCAAATAATCTACATTATGGAGTGGGTTAAACCCCTGTGCCGGCAGGACTGAAGACCGACAGGTTCGAATCCAGGAAGAGTGTGGATGAGCTCCCTCTATCAGCTCCAGCTCCCCATGTGGGGACATGAGAGAAGCCTCCCACAAGGATGGTAAGACATCAAAACTTCTAGGCATCTCCTGGGCAACGTCCTTGCAGACGGCCAATTCTCTCACACCAGGAGCGACTTTCAGTTTTTCAAGTCGCTCCTGACACGACAAAAAAAACAACAAAACTTACATTATCAGTTTTGATCTGGATTATACAAGTCTACATAGCCATATAATCCAGTTCAAATCAGATAATCTGGATTTTATATGGCAGTGTAGAAGGCACCTATGTCACACAGAAAATGCCAACTTGAAAACTGTGAGTTATTACTTATGAAGCAGCCAATAGAATTGTGTCTAAGGCCCCTTCTACACTGCCATATACTCCAGTATATTATCCCAGATTATCTGATTTGAACTGGATTATCTGAGTCTACACTGCCATATAATGTAGATCAAAAGAGATAATCTGGATTCAGAAACTAGATTATATGGCAGTGTAGATGACGCTTCAGACTATATAGATTTGCGTACATCCCAGCAAGAGGTCTCTAACGGTATGAACGCAGTCATGTCTGCAACACTAGGCACGTTTGCCATGGTCTTTGACTATGAAAGCTAAAGACACTAGTCTTACCTGCTCATTATCACAAAAGTAGCCATCCTGCTTGTGCAAATTGGAAGGGCACTAGAGAGGGGAAGAAAAAAAAAATGAGACAAGATCAGGCAAGACTGGGATAGTCACGTTTCCCTAGAAGAAAACACAAGATTAATAAAAGGCAACTCTCTGCAAACATGGGGTGCAGAGGTAGGACATCCATAAAATTGAAGGGATAGGTGAGTTCCAAGCTAGGAATAGGCAGAATGTGTTTTTATATATGGGATTTTGCAAATTATCTCTTCTATATAAAGAAAAATGTAATGTTCATATGTGGGATTAACATAACTCAAAAACCACTGGACGAATTGACACCAAATTTGGACACAATACACCTATCAGGCCAATGAGTGACCATAACTCATAAAAACACTAAAAACACAGCAGAAGGGACTTTAAAAGCAAAAAAAGCAAAAAGATGCTATAGCACATGCGCAAAAATGACTCCCCCTGGCAAACAAAACACACAATAGCACATACACACTCTCTTCCGGACTACAGCTCCCAGCATCCACTAGACTAGGCTGTTTAGGAGAGGAGGAGGATCTAAATGCACTGCTCCCAAGATGCAAGCTTTCTTCTTCTTGGATTTCTTTGAGAGCATCCCAATCCCTGCATATTTCCAATTTCCCATTCCTGGACTGCAACTCCCAGCAATCCTCCAGGTAGATAGATTAGATAGAGATAAATAGGTAGGTAGATTGATAGATCTATCAGGAGGACTTCTGGGAGTTGCAGTCCAAGAATAGGTAGAGAAGGAAGAAAGCAGAGAAAGAGGAAGGAAAAGAAAAGATGGGGGGAAGGAAGAGAAGAAGAAGAGAAGGAAGGGGAGAGAGAGAGAGAGAGAGAGAGAGAAAGGAAAGAAGGAAGGAAGGAAGGAAGGAAGGGGGGAAGGAAGGAGGGAGGGAGGGAGGGAGGGAGGGAAGGAGGGAGGGAGGGAGGGAAGGAAGGAAGGAAGGAAGGAAGGAAGGAAGGAAGGAAGGAAGGAAGGAAGGAAGGAAGGAGAGAAAGAAAGAAAGAAAGAAAGAAAGAAAGAAGGAAAGAAAGAAAGAAAGAAAGAAAGAAAGAAAGAAAGAAAGAAAGAAAGAAAGAAAGAAAGAAAAGGAGGAGGAGGAAGGAAGGAAGGAAGGAAGGAAGGAAGGAAGGAAGGAAGGAAGGAAGGAAGGAAGGAAGGAAGGGAAGGTTGGCCACAGCAATGCATGGTGGGTACAGCTAGTGATATATTAAAATGCCTCAACAGCATACTTCCCATATCCACAAGGGATATATTATCTGTGGAAATCACGGATAACACTATGTAATACAATTTTTAAAAATGTCTGTTCCTGGTTTGAAAGTATTATTTCCTGTTCAGTTGTATGGTACTTACTTTGAAAGTAGTTATTATACTCCAGAAACTTTGTTTTTGTGGCTCCCACAAACTATGTTGTATTGGTTGAGACTCTGTGACGTATTCATTGAAAAACTATAGCAAAATCTGCTGCAGGATGTCTTGTAAAAACAGTATTTTTGCAATTTAGTAAATTTTGTCCATGTTTTTATGATAGAATCAATTGGGAAATACATTAATGACCCAGAAACAAACATTGTGTTACATAGTGTCATAGCAAAATCTATTGAACTAATAACATCTTGTAGAAGCAAACCATAGTGTCACACTAGAGGAATATTTAGAGAATATCTCTCTATGCATCACTGATCAACTTTAAGAGAAAATATGTCACAAAATTGCATTGGTGGACCTAGGAAATACCTGGAGAGGACATATTTTGTCAAATGAAAGCAAATGAAACCACGCACAGCTGGTTCTGCAGATTTGGAGTCATACTGTATTTCAACATCTGTCCAATTGACAGAATTATTATGCTTATTTATTTATACCATGTTTTTTTCTCTCTACAAGGAGACTCAAAGTGGCTCAATCCTTTGTGAATAAAAATATATTTGCTTGGACACAGCTTGGGATACGATTAGGACACAGCTTGGGAATTTATTAGCCTCCATAAGGAAAGCGAGTGTCTCTGTAGATCTTAGAAAACTATTTCTAGATTTAAGTCGTTGATGTGCTGGCTGATACCCAAACAGGGGATGAGCTGGAGATGTCACTGCCTTGGTCCTTTCACTATTGGTTGCTACTTCCCGGCGGATGTCAGGTGGTGCAATACCAGCTAAACAGTGTGATTTCTCCAGTGGTGTAGGGTGCAGATACCCTGTGATAATGAGGCATGTCTCATTAAGAGCCACATCTACTGTTTTAGCGTGGTGCATGCATACTGGGCATGCATACTCAGCAGCAGAGTAGCATAGCTCAAGGGCAGATGTCTTCACTGTATCTGGTTGTGATCCCCAGGTTGTGCCGGTCAGCTTTCGTATGATATTGTTTCTAGCTCCCACTTTTTGCTTGATATTCAGGTAGTGCTTCTTGTAGGTCAGAGCACAGTCCAGAGTGACTCCCAGGTATTTGGGTGTGCTGCAATGCTCCAGTGGGATTCCTTCCCAGGTAATTCTCAGAGCTCGGGATGCTTGTCTGTTCTTAAGGTGAAAAGCACATGTCTGTGTTTTAGATGGATTAGGGATCAGGTGGTTTTCCCTGTAGTAGGCGGTAAGGGCACCTAGAGCTTCGGAGAGCTTTTGTTCAACCATCTCAAAACTCCCTGCTTGAGCAGTAATGGCACGATCATCCGCATAGATGAAACTCTCTGTCTCTTCTGGCAGTGGCTGGTCATTAGAATGGGAATCTAATCCCATGGCTGGTGACTAGAATGGGAATCTAAGGTGAATCTCATCATAACCAGATCATGGCCTCACCCAGTTCTCACCTGACTAGAGTCCCCTGTGCATGTTTCCAGGATGTCGCACTCATTCACAGCTTCTCGACAGGTGACACCTCGTGGCTCATACTATGAGAAGGAAGATGGGAGAGAAGTGATTGAATTCTTTAATATGGACCAGTGGGCAAAGGACTCAATCAGAATGAAATCTCTTCTGCTCCTCCCACATCTTATACTGGTTTCACAGCCCATCCCATCTTTTATGCCCCAAGCTGTGGTGTAGAAACATCAGCCTATGCTTGGGCTGCTGCCGATGTTCCTTGCTTACTCACATCTTTTCATTAAGTAAATGAGAAGAATCATAGAATTGGAAGAGACCACATAGGCCATCTAGTCCAACACCCTGCCATGCAGAAAAAGGACAATCAAAGCACCCCTGACAAATGGCCACCCAGCCTCTGTTTAAAAGCCTCAGAGGCAGAGAGTTCCACTGTTGAAGAGCTCTTAAGGTCAGGAAGTTCTCCCTAATGTTCAGGTGGAATCCCCCTTCCTGTGATTTGAACACATTATTCTGTCTTTTAGGGTCCTTCTACACAGCCAAATCTTCTTTGAACTGGATTATTTGAGTCCACACTGCCATATAATCCAGTTCAATATGGATTTTATGCAGCTGTGTGAAAGGGGCCCTAGTCTCCAGGGCAGCAGAAACAAGCCTCTTCCTTATGTCATCCTCTCAGATATGTAAACATTAGGGCTGGGCAACCACGGAAAAATTTGTTTCTAAACTCGATTCATTTTTTGGGGGTTTTTGCGATTTGATTTTTAAAAGAATTCCGAATTTTTCCTTTAAAAAAGTTCGATATTTACGAAATTTCGGCAATTACGAAACAATTACGAAACAATAACGAATCGATTCGTTAATGGCGGACGCGACCGCGCAATACGCTAAAAAACCTCCAAATGGGACAGGGGGAACTTCTGAAGCTTCCCTCTCCCTCTGTTGTTGACTGTCAGGGGTGCTTTGATTGTCCTTTTCCTGTGATATTTATAATTTTTTTCACTGATTAAACAAACAACAACTGTAAAACTTGCCCCAGACATGCGGAAATAATAACGAAACGATTTTGAAACGATAACGAAATGAATACGAAACGAATACGAAACAATTACGAAACGAATTGAAAAATTCGTTTTGATTTTTAGTTGCTCCTAAATGGTTTGTTATCGCTTCGTTATAAAAAAAAATAATGAATTTTTAACAAATTACAAAATTACGAAATGAAACCGCCCAGCCCTAGTAAACATGACAATCATGTTTCCTCTCAACCTTCTCTTCTGCAAGCTAAACATCCTCAGCTAAACATCTCTAAGTCACTTCTTATAGGGCAGGGTCTCCAGACCTTTGATCATTTTAGTTGTCCTTCTCTGGACACCTTCTAGTTTGTCAATATTCTTCTTGAATTGTAGTGCCCAGAATTGGACAGAGTTTTCCATTTGAGGTCTGACCAAAGCAGCATAGAAAGGTAGCATTATTTCCCTTGATCTACACACTACTCCTTTTGATGCAGCCCAGAATCCCACTGGCTTTTTCTGATCCTGTCTTCAGCTGCAAACTTGACAAACATGCCCACTAAACCTTAATCCAAGAACAAAGAGTAACCACTGGCAACAAGTTGGAACTTCATAGAGGGGTTAAGCTACATCAGTCAGAAGCTTGATATTTTTGGCCTGCAACAACAGGAGTCTAGTGTCTAGATCCAGGGAAGTCATGCTCCCCATGCTCTATTCTGCCTTGGAATATTGTGTCCAATTCTGGACACCACAATTGAAGATAGATTTTGAGAAGATGGAATGTGTCCAGAGGAAGGCGACTAAAATGATCAAGATTCTGGAGAACAAGCCCTATGCGGAGCAGCTTAAAGAGCTGGGCATGTTTAGCCTGAAGAAGAGAATCATAGAATCATAGAATCAAAGAGTTGGAAGAGACCTCATGGGCCATCCAGTCCAACCCCCTGCCAAAAAGCAGGAATATTGCATTCAAATCACCCCTGACAAATGGCCATCCAGCCTCTGCTTAAAAGCTTCCAAAGAAGGAGCCTCCACCACACTCCGGGGCAGAGAGTTCCACTGCCGAATGGCTCTCACAGTCAGGAAGTTCTTCCTAATGTTCAGATGGAATCTCCTCTCTTGTCGTTTGAAGCCATTGTTCCGCATCCTAGTCTGCAAGGAAGCAGAAAACAAGCTTGCTCCCTCCTCCCTGTGGCTTCCTCTCACATATTTATACATGGCTATCATATCTCCTCTCAGCCTTCTCTTCTTCAGGCTAAACATGCCCAGTTCCCTAAGCCTCTCCTCGTAGGGCTTGTTCTCCAGAGGGCTTGTTCTCCAGGCTGAGAGGAGACATGATAGCCATGTATAAATACGTGAGAGGAAGTCATAGGAAGGAGGGAGAAAACTTGTTTTCTGCTGCCCTGAAGACTAGAACATGGAACAATGGCTTCAAACTACAAGAAAGGCAATTCCATCTGAATATTAGGAAGAACTTCCTGACTGTGAGAGCTGTTCAGCTGTGGAACTCTCTGTCCTGGTGTGTGGTAGCGTAGCAGCATGATAGGAGAGATAATACCAAGAGAGATCCTTTTCGGAGAAAGAAAAGTACGGCTTTATTTCCAGCTGGGACCCTGGAGTGGAGTTGTGTCCAAAAGCAACCAGAGCAATGATAATCACATTGACTTTCCCTTTTATACACTTCAAATGCAGACAAACAAAGAAACATGCTTCTACATATGAAACATCATCACTGCATCACTTTAAGCATCACAGAAATATCAATCTTCCAACATGCAAAAGGCATGTCTCTGTATTACATACAGCTTACATTCATCAATCAAGGGGCCTACTTTGACCTGTCAGGAGGGAGGGGGATAGGCTCCTTACTTAGAAGGAAGACGCTGGGCTATGTTGTACCAGTCTCTCTGGAATGTATAGGTAACAGGTCCCCCTTCTCCTCCCGCTTTTAGCAATCCTTCTCTGTCTTGCTGGCTTTGTTACACAGAGAGAACCTGATTTTTCTTATATTTCAGTGCTGGTAAATGACATACAATATTTATTTATTTATTTATTTCATCTACTTATACCCCGCCCTTCTCACCCCGGGGGGGACTCAGGGCGGC